CCTCTCAAAGGAGACTGACTCGCACGATTTATTTATTTATCTCTCGTTAAAGTTATTCGCGAAAGTTTTGCGACTCCTTTTGTCGAGGATCTGGTATCGACGTACGAGCCTTGGATACTTCGACGCCTCGACAAGCGAACAATGCGCGAACGCACAAAGAGGAACTTTGTACCCGACTAATAGCATCGCTCGATGGAAATGGAGACTCCTATCATATATACACTTAATGCCGAGATTTGTGTGTGTATGTGTGTGTGTGTCGAAACTACATACTCTTGTCCTTTTGCGCTCATAGTTGCACCGGCAATTTTACATTCGCATGTAAACGTCTAATTAACGAGCGCGTGCAAACGCGCAAATTCCCCTTGTAAAGGAAATTATATGGCGCGGCTTCCAAAAACATTACGAAATGTCGAGTAGCAGTTACTCCGATTCGATTATATATCTCTTTTATACAAGATATGTATGTGTGTGTGTGTGTGTGTCAAAAGGTTCGCTTTAATTTATCTTCTGGTTTCAAAATTCAAGATAAAAGGAAACTTTTTACATCGTAATTTTCAGAATTGCTGATAATTTTTATAAATTAAATGTCAAAAACTTACTCAATCGCTTTATTATAATTATTGTTAGAATAAATATGTTATTCAAAACTCAAGAAAAGACAATATTTGTACGAATATTGTATTGGTCAAAAATTTTCGAAAATTTATATCTTCTCGTCTTATATCTTCTCATCTCAATTTTATTAAACATTTTTATTAATTTTTATTAACTTTTATTAATTTTTATTTTAATGACTACTAACTGAACAATTATTTGAATATTTATAACATAATTTGTATAATAAAATAATTATTACTATCTATGTTATTTGTTTATTTATAAGTTAAATTTCAGAAATTTACACATAATCCTTTTATAATAATTATATATATATATATATATATATATATATATATGCATTTGTTATCTTTATGAAACGCAGCTGCATACAGTGATATCAAAATGCAAATGTGATTCACACACACAATCAGAATGCACATGCATTGTATGCAAAGTGTTGTGTAGCTAAATAATTGTATAAAATTTTATATTGTTTGTTTTGTTTATTATATTATTAACTATTTTTAAATTTGTTAAATATAAATTTTTTTTATTTATTAAATGAAATTTTTCAAATTCGTATAATGTGTGATTTTTTTCTCATTTAATTTACAAATGTACATATTTTAGCTCCATTTGAAAATCAATGTTGGCAAGACTAATAATCTTTCTTGACAATCTTGATATTACCTTGATAACTAATTAAGAATCTTGCTTCAATTTTATTTCGAATTTTAAAACAAAACCAAAATATTAAGACTAATTTTGATATCATGTGCAATTCTGAAAAGTTCCATCAATTCTTTTTGTTTTTCACTAATTGCAAGCTTAAGATATTTTTCACATTATATAGAACATTGTTAGTGAAAATTAGCTCACATTCGGAGGGAGAGATCGTTGCTCACTTACATTACATAATCATCATCTCTGCAGCAATTTACAACATCGAAAGTCTCCTTGCCTATTGCGTTTCAATTGCAAATCGCATTGCTCGATATCGAGGAATGCGTTTGTGCAATCCACCGTGCATTTCAATTCCGGCCAAGATGAAAGAGCGCGACGTAATAATAGTGGCCCGTGCAATCCCGGCACGTTTCTTTAATCTATTCATCCGTGATTCGGGAGTCGGACGACCCCTATATGCACGTGCACGCGCACGTACGTGAATATACGCGTGGATATAGCATATCCGAGTAAAGATGCGAGGGCACGCCAGGGCACGAAAGCTCACGGAATAAAGCTCGCTCGATGAGATCCCCGCCGCCTCGGCAGCACTATTCGGGCAATATAAGCTTATTTGACTTCGCGGAGGCATAATCCATTCCGCATACCGTGTGTTCCTTGGGCGTTGGCCTGGATACGAGTTACACACTCTGTGAAATCACCTTCCCATTCTCTTTCTTCGCGCTCAACCACATGCACTTTTTCCTAGTTTCGTTTGCATTTGAAACACTCTCCAAGTACCTTTCCGTGTAATCTCGCTTATACTTTTGTAACTGTAAAGTCGCGACCGAGCTGACGACGATCTCGTGGTTTCAGAAAGCCGGTAATAACGGCTATGACGGTTCCCGCGAACGAGCAGACTCGCGATCCAATTAATTCGACGTGCAAATATTTTCGATAGTGGAGCATGACGCGCTGCGTACATCGCGTTCGATATTAATTTGCTTAATGTATCGACGTCATTGTTTGCATTACGCGCGATTCTTGAACGCGGTTAGACCGCGGTCAATATTGTCGATATTAGAGCTGATTATTTGCGCCGATCCGCCGAGCGAACATTTCTCAGAACAAAAATGAGGTCATTCTGGAAACTTTTCTCCTGTTCAAATAAAAAAATTGGCATTTAAAAAATGTCATTAGAAATCACTAGTTTGGTAGTTTGGTAAAAATATTTTTTTTTCATCAGCGACAAAACATTGTTCGACTTTGCTGATAGATGTCTCATGGCGTATGTAAATATGCGTGCCCGTTTATGCACTCGGTTTTCTCGCCGCACCTCTCATGTCGGCGCATTGGTATCTTCCATCCTCGTTTGTCACGCAGATAAGAATACGAGAGTTGACGATGCCGATTACATGATCGTCTTTCCAGGCCAGGGGGACTAGGTCGATGTCAAACTGGGTTTGCAGTTTATCTTTGTGACACTGAAGTTGTAATCGCGCTGCCACGCCACAATGTCATCGTATTATTCCTATGCACCGATCTTTTTACATCACATATAGAGTGTTTAAGAATTTTCATGCAAAGTTATTAAAAATTAAACTATTCTAGGAAATATATAAACTTGAGAAATCACGATAGAAATAAATCAATCAATTTTCTCCATCCATTAATTTGAATTTTTAATTTTAATTTAAAATATGTAATTCTTCTAAAATAAATAAATAAACAAACAAACAAATAAATAAATAAATAAATAAATATTAAATATTAAATAAATGTGTATTAAATCTTAAAAAATTGCAGAAGTCCATTAACATATTGCTACGCAAATTATTTAAAAATTTGTAAATAATGATACACTCTATATATATTATGTAAATTGTTATTGTCGTTATAAGTTATTGTACGAGTTTAACTGTCGGACAAAAAGTGAATAGAGAAAAGATTATAAATTTTGAAAAACGCGGATTATAATTCGTTCCAAATATGCAGAGCTTAATCGAAATTGCATTCAACAAAATCCATCGAGATACAAGTAACGCAAGTGAGCACTACATCACATTTGATGTATATATGTAATCAACTTATAACGATACAATTGTATAGTATTTGTAATGCTTGTCACAATATTCGTTTTTTTATATTTAAATATTCTTGAAGGGAAATTAAATATTTGTAGATTAAAAGATTCTCTTTCATATTCTTCTAAATATCTCAACTATATATATATATTATACCAAAAAGGTAGCTATTATTGTTGCTAGATGAAAAATCTCCGAAATTATATTATTATAACGAATAATATTACAAATACATTCCTTCAAGCTTACTTCTTGAACAAAAAAAGTCATAAACTATATTATTACTTAACTTATGATTGATTATCCACATTTTTCACGATTTTTATAAAATAAAATGCTGTACAAACTTTTATCCAATATCGATGGCGCAAAAAGTCTTCTTAGCCGATCGAAATCAATGGATAAATCGCGTAGTCAGGAGAATACCAAAGCATACATGAGAGCCAGATGTAGGACCGTTTAATCAGAGTTTTTTATACAAATGCGATTGAATGGGCTAAATGAACTCCCTGGGTGTCGCTTAAATTGTTAAACGAATATCGGGCATAATATTGACTGACGCTACCCACGACTTATTATTTCGTTGCTGCGATACACCAGCAGCGAACTCCATTAACGTTCTCTTAAATACTTTATTGAAGTTAATGGAGATCTGTGATTATCCCTTAACAAGTTTTATATTTATATAAAGCACCGCGTCCCGGCTACGGATCTATGTTAATGTGATTAATCTTGCGCCCACATCGAAACAATGCTGAAATTATTTTAACGATACTAAACTTTTGAAATATATTAATTACCAAAGATTTTTAATGATGTACAAATCAACGCATCTCTATAGGATCAACAATCGTGAATTGAACTATATTGTATACCGATGTAAATTGAGAAATTGTCGAGTGAATCAATATTTGACACAAGAAAAACTTTTGCGTAAAACTTCAAATTACTGTTTATAAATTCGCTTATTTCCGACATGACAAGCCCGACCGCCAGCAATCAATTCAAGGCAAGAGGTGATATCGATCTCAATTTCCGTGGAACCAGCTTGCTTGTCGGACTAATTCAACGCGATATCAGCAAGTAATTGCTTAATTTCATTTATCTCCATTTCATTCAGATATAAATATTGTTAGTATTATACGCGAGGAGCGTACGAGAAGAGACAAAAATTTCACGTTCCATAGAAAATGCAAGAAAATATTCTATCTATTCGAGTTACAACTGTCGTTTACGATATTCTACAATTTCCTGTGCCAGAAATATTCTTGGTCGCCGAAAAGATATCAGGATTCTACCAATTTCGATTCGCGTCGGAGACATTATAGCGCCGTTCTCATCCAAAAAAACTGCTTCATTTCAAGAGCATCGAGTCAGTTCAGTTTCTGAAAAAAGTAACGGCCCGTATGTATGTATGTACAGTGCGCACGTAGTCGACATTACGATGTCATTCTGCGAACCCGCTTCAACGAAATTTAATTTTCTTTTTCATGAATTGGACTGTGATTGGCTATTCCTTCTCAATAGCCGCACGCCGAGCAAGTTTTGCTGGCCACTTTACTCGCTTTTGGTCATAACCAGATTCGTGACACAACCCTGTGCGGTCTATTGATATCCTTATTGAATTTCCATGCTCTCTTCTCTTTTGCAATTTAATTTTTGCAAGAATTTTTACATTATTCTAAAGTTGACGCCTCATTTTTCGAAGATCGATAATAATTGATAGAATTTTCTTCTTCGCTTCTCTTCTACAGTTCCTGAAACATTTCAGAAAAGATTCTGACAATTGAATGTAAAGGATAAAGAATCCAAAAATATGTAATGCCAACTTCCAATGCTTATTAGTTATACGAAAAATGTAACCCTGTAAAATGTACCTGAAAAATGTACCATTTTTTTTTTATTTCAATCAAAATTATTGATCAGATCTTCTTACACAGATATTTATCCACTTGTATTATGATGTTATGTTGATCAAATAAATAATTAGTTTTCGAATATATCCATGTTTCTGATCATAGAACATGGATATAAATATCTACTCGCTGAATCATATATTCGTTTGTGTAAGACATACATATTCATAAAAACAACTTAATGGCACATATTAAATAATATTTAATGTAGAAATAAAAGTCTAAACATAATATGTAACAAAAATATAGGGAAAAAAAGAAATAATTGAAAGTAAAATTTTTTTAAATAGGAAAAAAAAGAATAAGTAAAACATATATACAAATATTTTTTCTAAGAATCATATTATGATTACAATAAAATTTAAGTGAATGTAAAGTGCAAATTATCATATATAGCTTTAAGTTAGAAGTTGTTTCAATAAAACACAGGAAAATATAAATGGTTTAACCTCAATACACAATGCAGTTGCAATGTAAAAATAATATTGAAGTGTCTATCGAATAATATCAAATATACAAAAAAAATAAATAAATAAACTCGTATTCGGTTTGTTTACCGTTACACAACCGTTACAAACAATGCGATTATATATATGCAAAGAGAGTGCTCGTATATTTGAATGGACAACCATATCACATATACGTACACAACACACATTTGAAAACAAATACGAGGAACCGTTTTCGGAACCATGTGGATCAAGATTCACAAGTGCACCAAATTAACTTTTAAATAAACTTTTGTCTATTTGGTCTTGCGGTGTCAGTATCTTCTAGTATTTTACTTCTAGTATTTTTTGACACCTAACGTTTATGATCGCATAAGAAAATGAATAATGTTCATGAATGAGCCAAAAAAATGCTATGTTATCAAAAAATAAAATTTTCCTTTAATAACAAAAATAAAAGTTTCCTTTAATAACAAAACTACAATTTATTATACAGCAAAGAAATAATTTAGATTAGTAAACAGAAAAAGAACAGAAATATCAAGCTATATGTATACTATGTACACTTTCAATAATCTTGAAAAATAATTACTTTAAAAAATTTTAATTTTTAAAATTAAAATTAAAATTAAAATTTTCTTATTTGCATAAGTTTCTATTAAAAAAAGAATTTGGTAATTATTTACATTAACGGACACCTTGATCTTTACATGTTGTAGAGGTGAGGATGCTGATTAATTTTTCTTTGTTTTAGTGGCCTCTTATAGTTTTTGAGATATTTAATGAAAAATGTTTAGTGATTAAAACGTATTTTTCTGACACCACATACATTTATTACACAAACTATATGTATCAGGTATTTGTTTACAATATATTCCGAGTGTTTCTGTTATTTAGTTTGTTCTACACCTAACCATGGCTTTCGCTTTATTTTGCAAAGTACAGATGTTGACGCCATGAGTTCCGCTCCCCCCCCCCCCACCTTTAGCTACATGAGGGTAACACTTCCGGAAGATATAACCTAACTCAAACCTATTTCTGATTTACAATTAAAATTAAGTTTGAGTTATATTATATAATTCAAGTTGCATTGTGCTTTTGTATTATACAAAACGAGAACTTTTTTTTCAGGGTAGAAAGGGAGAAATCTCTTAATTAAATTTAATTTCTACATTGTTATAAATTATGAAAAAAATGGTTTCCGATATAATTTATTTTTTGTTCAAAAATATCGCTATTTATCGCTTTTATAGTAGGTGCAAATTAATTTGTGTGCATTAGTACGTGCGTGTGTAAATATTTACACGAATGTGCGTGAGTGTACATTACATTTCTTTAAATATGTAAGAAGTATAAAGAAATAGACATGTAGATGTATGAGAAAATTGTGCCATGTGATTTATTATAAAAATCAAAAATTATATAAAATTTACAAACATTATAAGTTTCAAATAATTAATAATATATATTTAAAATATTAATAATACATATTAAATTTATAACAACAATTTATTATATACATAAAAAATTGTTATTATATGTATACAAATATTAAAGAATTGTAATAATGTTTTATTATTTTTAATTTTAGATGTTATTTAAACATTAATATGCATTATTATATATTAAGAATTTGATTCAAGATAATAAAATTAATAAATATTAACGAATAAAGTTATAAATATCGAACATATCAAATACAACTTAAAAAATAAATCAGAATACAGTTTAAATTAGGTAATACATTTTTAGATGGTACATTAATAATATAATGTCAAATATTGTAGATACTTTCTCATTTATATAATTAGAATTATTCATATAACATAATTTAATTATAATTATTTATAATTATAAACATAATTAACACTTTATATTATTTTATGTTAATAAAGAAATGGAAATACCGGTTAACGCAGGCCAAAAAATATCTTTGTAAGTGCACGTGCATTGAATTATTATATTATTAACGCACATAAGCATAAATAATAAATCGATAACTATAAACCTTATGAAAAGCTATTTATAAGAAAGATGTATAGATGTATTCGTGTCACAATTGTTACTTTTATTAAACGAATATTCGAATTACTTTACAAAATTTTGAAAGTAAGCCTTTTGACTTTTGATTTCGAAAATACGTATTTGTATCTTGCTTTGAATATTTAGAACATATTCCTTCATAGTTCTGAACTCTTCGTTAATTCTATTCAATTTGCTTGTCTAAAACAAATTATATCGATATTAATTATTAGTGAATAGCAATTAATCAATTATCATTAAATATTATATTAAACTATATCTTGTGTGTGTGTGTGTGTGTGTGTGTGTGTGTGTGTGTGTGTGTGTGTGTGTGTGTGTGTATGTAACATATACACAGGATGTCCATCCTAACATTTGCCAAACAAAATCCAAGTAAATCTCACTAAACTGAATTAAAGTAAGTCTTATATCATTTTGTAAACAACTACGTACAATTTCCAGATATTAATTTAAAAATAATCGGCCAGTAGGAGCGCGCAGCGAAAAAAGCTGTCCCACTATAACTTGATACTAGGTGGACGATGAAGTGGCGGATAGGGCACTCTCCAAAACATGATGATCGCGAATTGGCCGATCTTTTTAAATTAATATCTCATTAATTATTGCGAAAATCGCAAAACAATAAAAGACTTTCCTACTCAGTTTAACTCGCTCTACTTACGAGGAATTAGGCAATTACTAGGTAACACCTTGTATATACTAAACATTTTATTTAAATATAATAGCACAAATATTTTATTTATAATAATAATTTTAAATATAATTGGAATAAGTAATAATTATAGATTATGAAAGTTATAACTTTTTTTTGCGACTTAAAATTTTAGTTACCCTAAAGAAAGAGATTTATAAGTTTGTAAATATTTTAAATCAAATATATAATGATTTTGCATCTTCATAAAAAAATTTGTCAACAAAAGCGAATAAAGTGACATGAATTTCAAGAAATTAATAAAGCACTAAATGTGAAATTTAAATTTAAATTTTTCGAACTAGTGAGAGAGAATCAGATGAGAATTTGGTAGTGCCTCAATTTTAGAGAAAATTAATTTTTTAAAAATTAAATTGTTGTACATGGAATACATTTTTTTCTCGATGCGATAATAAATAACTAAATAAATCTCAATTCAAGATTTTTATTAAAATAAATCATCTCTGATCCGTGTAGAAAAGCGTAGGCGAAGAAATATCGAGATAAAGTTGCTGAAATGAGAATAAAATCATTTTTCTATTGCACCATGTGTTCTATTATATTATGTGCATAGTGTTACACTATTTTACTTAATAATTCTTTTGTCTGCAACGAATGTTTATAAATAATATTTTAACCCTTGACAAATAAAAGTTTACAAAATTTAAAATTAAAGATTTTAAAAATAAAATTAGAAATCTATAAGAGCTATTGCTATCACAGAGAAAATATCATTATATTATAATAATCTATCATTATTAAATTTATAGTTTAATAAACAGATAATTCATCATATAATATTGAAGTATGCTAATCACATATTAGGCAATAATCCTCTCAATCATATATAATCATATATTGAAAAAATTTAAATTTATTTAACTAAGAAGTATTTGAACATCTCGAAGCTTATAAATTCTGTTTTTAAAATTTATATAAATCGGTTTTTATTAAGATTACTAAAATTTTCAAGTAAAAAAATTCTTTATCTCTTTTGCCTTTCGCTTGCTCGTTCGCTCTTTCGCACTCACTCATTTACTAAAAATTTCAATAATTTGAAAACAGTATATTTTCGTAAATTAGAAATAAAAATATGATTATTTTATAAAAGAAATTAGATGACATTAATTTTTGCTTGTTGTATCTTTGAGATTCTGTGATATTAATATATTCTGTATAAAAACAAAAAATCAATAATAATAAGCGAATATATATTAGTATAATGCTATTCATAAGTTTACCTTTACTTTCACATCTCTCTCTTCCGTATATGCAATCCATATCTTCTTATGTTCATTTAATTTAACTTTCGTTGCATTAATAAATTTATCTGTTAGGAAATTGTTTATCTAAAACAGATTATTTTGATATTCAATAACAATATTAAATAATAATTTTATGTCGTATCATAATTATTTATTTTACATATATATAAGCACATGCAATTCTTACCTTTTCGAGTTGTTTCGTAGAATACACATGATTAATAATAACAATAAATGCTGCATATTTACTGACTTGTCTATAACAGTAAAATAATAAATTTATTGATATATACATAAACTATTGAATGATAAATATATATTTACAGAGAAAGCTGTATTACCTGGGTCTTATATTCTCCAGTTTTTCTAATATGAAATCGAATATTACAGGATTTCTCGCGTGCTTCGCGATAGTAAAAAGAAAATAATTAATATAATCTTTATTGGAAAAACCTTTAAAAAACATAATCGATGTTGTACTATCATTTGTTATTAGATTTAAATAGTCTTTGATAAAATGTGAATCCTCAGAGCAAGCCAGATATTTTAAAAATTTAGTTTCAAATTTTTCTTTTTCCAGATGATATACTCCCCACCAAGGAGAATTTCCATCGCTAAGAGAATAGGACAACGTTTTTAAACCTTGACAATATGTCCATTCTTTCCACCATGGCAAGAGTCTACGGAAAATTCGACAAGAAGTAGATTTTTGTATAATAAATTATAAAAGTGTTGCACATATTAATCTTATATTTTTCTTATATTCAATAAATTTATTAAACATTGCACATATATCTACAAGGCAAACTAAAATGATCGAATATCTGAGAAAAATTACGTGTCTTCTTTGGAATTTATGAGATATCGTTTTAAAACATAGCCGGCTTTTTCTTTGCAATTGGGCTCATCAAGAGAACATGCCCATTTTACAGCTTCCATTCTTAAACTCTTTTGAAAATCGTCTTCATTTAAAACATCATCGTATCCAAGTTTGTATCGAAGTAACTCGCGTAATAAGTTCCTTATTATTATCTAAAAGTATATATATATATATATATATATATATATATATATATTGTTATTTGATAAAAATTTTAAATTTTCGGTTCTTTTGTGTTATATTTTTGCTGTATAAAAAAATATTTTGTAAAACTGTATTTTACATGATTTGATATAAGGTGTGCCTAAATTCGTGATAATTCGCAAAATATTTTAATGACAAATTCTTTGTAACTTAAAAACGAAAAGTTTAATACAAAAATGTCGAGGCTATAAAAAATGAAAAGCTATAAAAATTCTATATCAAGGCTATGAAATTCTTGAATATTTATCTATAATATTTTCACAATAATTTCACCAGTGTCGAAAGTACTCAATTCATGAAAGCATCTTTAATCGTTTTGTCACCTTTGAGCGCGCGAAACTTTAACTCTATCATTCGTGATCCTTAAACTTTTCCTATTTGAAAACTATTGTAGCCTCGACATTTTTGTATTATATTTTTTGTCTTAAAATGTTACAAAGAATTTGTCATTAAAATATTTATCTCGAGTTTAGGAACATCCTGTATAATTAGAACGTTCTGTCTTACTAAATAGTTCTCACTTCCTTCTTCTAAAGATGTCTGTTATACAGCTATACTTATACATGAATTTACACACAGATTTGTATTCTTCTACACATTCACACATGCTGTTTATACATATCCATATAATTATATAACATACATATAAATACAGAAGTGCATATATCCTACATGTAAACATTATAATGTATAATATAATAATATAATAATTTAATAATTTTTTAACTGTTTGTATATTACATATATAAATAACTAATATATGATTACTAATTTTCTATCTCAAAATTAATGATATTTAAATTATCTTAATCGTTATAAACATCGGGCTGTGATTAAAAATGGTAGCAATTTTTAATTTCTCTCTTTTTCCCTCCAATCTTTTATAATTAGTTCATACTGTATTTGAATATTAATTTATAAGTAGATATTTATTTTGCATCTAGAATATATTTAAAAAATATAACTTTATCTACATGTATTTTATTGTATTTTTTTGAAAAACATATAACAATTATTGTTATAAAAGCACACAATTTATTAATATATGTAAATATTATTAATATATATAATAAGTAAAACATTTTTATAGTATGATTAAAGAGTTTTAGTATATTTAACATCATTATTGATAATTTATATAATTTACTTTGATGTTTTTAAAATTTGCTTCCGAAAATAAGAAGACATTTATAATTAGTACATACTCTATTCGAATAGAAATAGATATTTATCATTCATCCAAAATACATTTAAAAATCGTAATCAAATTTTTTTAGCTACATGTATTTTATTGTACGTTCTTTTTGGAAAGCACTTAATAATTATTGTTATAAATGCACACAATATTAATATGTGTAATAACTAATATGTTTAAAGCGTTTTAATATATTCAATACATCACTGTTGACATTGTTTATAATATTTGTTATTACCTTGATATTAAGATATATTGGTTCCGAAAATAGAAAGATATTGGATAGATATTCTAAGGCTTTGAACATAGGATACCATGCGATGTAGTCTGTTTCTCGTGATAAATATTTTGTAATATTCCAGAATACAGTGGGATTAAGTTGGTCTATTATCACTAAGTGAAAAGCGTCATCGATAATTTGGGCACGATTAAGAACATGTATTTTTGTATAATTTTCAGAATTTAGATAACTTGCAATTCTTCGCCAGTTCTCGATATCATAATTGACTCGATAATAACCTATCAAAAATAAATATATAAATTGTATCGATTATATATGTAATTCTTTCAAAGGGTCTATCAGTTATAGTATCTGTTTATATTTTTGTACATATTAACATAGATAAAAAAATTGAACATAAATAGAAATACAAATCATATAATATTATATATAAAATTATTTTGAATTAAGATTGAGTGCTTATAATAATTGTACAAGAAATTTTATATAAAACTAAACTAATTTTGATTATAAATATCAAGTTATATTACATAATACAATGTAATGTTATTTGTTATTATCTACATATTGACATAAAAGCATGTGAAACTATATTAAAAAAGCCTTTTTATTAATTACATTTCATATAACCATTATTTTTTATGTTATGATAAATTATATATGATGGAGTATTTTAAATGGTTCAAAATCATGTAGCGTAACATCGTATATATAATCTATTAAAGAATATTCGTATATACCAATAAAAAATTGCATAAACACAATTGCAATTTATGTTTATAAATAAAAATTTATTTATAAACATACATATATGCATATATACACACATACATACACACACAGGATGTCTAGTAATCCCGATAATAATCGCCTAATCTTTCGTGTACAAGGATTAAATTGAATGGATTAAATTGAGTAAAAAAGTCTTCTACTGTTTGCAATCTTCGTAATAATTTATGAAAAATTAATTACAAATGATCGGAATGCAAGCGAGTAAAAAGGATGCAGCAACAAGAGCCATCCCACTGTAACTTGATACTAGTATACCAAACCAATTCTTCAATTAATTTCTTATTTATTAATTTCATTAATTTATGCATAGATCGCAAAACGATAAAGGACGATTCTACTCAGTTTAATCCACTCTACCTGCATACGAGAGGTTCGGCTATTATTATCGGGCACTTGTATATTGTGTTTTTGTGTACACACACACACACACACACACACACACACACACACACACACACACACACACACACACACACACACACACACACACACACACACACACACACACACACACACACACACACACACACACACACACACACACACACACACACCACACACACACACACACACACACACACACACACACACACACACACACACACACACACACACCACACACACACACACACACACACACACACAAAGTGTCCGTCAATTTTGTGTACCCTGTATATATATATATATATATATACAGGGTCTACCAAAAGTGTGGAAACCCCTAAATATCTCGGAAAATATACGTTTTACAGAAAAGTGTTTCCAACAAAAGTTGTAGGGTTTAAGAAGATCTATATACTGATTCTATCAGTTTGACCTTGGATGGCGTCGTCAAGGTCAGGTCAAGGTCACATTGACTTTTTTAAATGACACCCCTACATTGATTGCATATTCTTATAGCTTAATTCAAGAGCTTTCCAAAACACTATAATAATGTTCATTTTTATTAGTACTTGCGATTATGAGGGTTGAAATAATTTCTTAATTTTACATAAACCATAAAATATCTAGTAAACCATTCATTTTTCGATTATCTTACCTTCATACTTTTATGTACAAAATAATGAAAGAATCAATTGTGTAAAGAAAAATACAGTTGTTTTTAAGAAAAAATATGGAATTGTTAATTGCAATTACATATTTTTTTAGAAATAATATGTGTTTTCTTTACCCAATTGATTCTCTATTAATTTGTACATAAAAGTATGAAGGTAAGATAATCGAAAAATGAATGGTTTACTAGATATTTTATGGTTTATGTAAAATTAAGAAATTATTTCAACCCTCATAACTCGCAAAGTACTTAATAAAAATGAACATTATTATAGTGTTTGGAAAGCTCTTGAATTAAGCTATAAAATATGCAATCAAAGAGGGTCATTAAAAATCAATGTACCTTGACCTGACCTTGACACGCCATCCAAGGTCAAACTATAGAATCAGTATATAATCTTAAACTAAATTTTGTTGAAACACTTTCTGTAAACGTATATTTTCCGAGATATTTAGGGTTTCACACTTTTGTAACCTGTATATATATATATATATATATATATATATATATATAATGTATATAATACATAATAATAATGCATAATAATACATAATAAATAATATTTTTAAGAAAGTAAACTTTTTCTCTTTAATGTGTATATATGATAAAATGTAATAAATCTATTACAAACATACCAGTTTGTTGTATATTAAATAGTATCCAGCCATCCTCTTTAACTTTATGGAACCTTAATCCAGAAGATAAAAAACGGTGCAAAAATATACTATCAAAATCAGCAACAAAATTGTGATGCGTCTGTGTAGTATACGTTACAGGTATGTAAAAGTTTTTCAAATCATTTAAATTGTGTATCGATACATTTTTCAATACTACATCTATCAATTCTATAGGATAATTATAATCTCGTGTTATTTTCAATACAGGATAATATTTTTGTTTTGTCCAAATTCTAATTATATAGCTCACAGCACTATAAATGTTTTGAGGTACTTTTGTAAATATAAGGTTCTTCATAAATTCACTAAAATAGTCAGAATATCGGTTGCTGAAATTACAAAATTTATGCAAAATTTAGTAATGTGTCGACGAAAGATATTATGAGAAACATTACTGTAACATATAAAATTGCTACATTAATTATTTTATACTTAATTAAATATATAATTAATTACATAATTACTTATATAATTTATAGTTTTTATATAAATATTTGGTGCTTTACTTTAAATTATAATTTAACTAAGAATAATCAATTCTGATTACTTTTAAAAGATAATTATATATAAATTGAAAGAATCTTGCATATTTATCGACATTAAAAGTGAAAGAAATTATGTAGTTAGATAATAAAGTATGAAAGAAACAATGTAAGTTTAAATAAAACTAATCATAATATTTGAGGATTTTATAAAATCTATAATCAATCAATCATCATGTTTACTATTCTGTAATTATAGTAGTGCAGTATATTATTTACATATACTATATAGTAATTATAGTAGTGCAGTATATTACTTACATATACTCATCCTTTCCTTCTATGCGGACACCCTGCCAGAATATCTCTTCAGTAAGCATGTGTTCCAACATACGCAATAGACTGGATGCTATAATTACATAATTTAAATTATATGAATTATATATATATATATATACATATATATATATATATATATATATATATATATATATATAATGAAGCTATTATATATAAAATTAAATTTTTTGTCAGTTATTCTATATACTTTTTTAAATATTTATAATCAATATTTACGCATGATCAGTTCTTAATTATATTATTATACCTCTAATGTAATGGGGAATTTCAAAAGAACTGTCGAATGGTGTGTTGTAAAGTGTTGTATTATATTTAGTATCGAAATGAAAGGATTCGTGTTGAATTTGTACCACAAACAAGTCCATCATCCGGGTATTTGGGTGAGTCTATAAAAAATAGTTTTAATGTATTTGCTTAATTAATACTAGATTTAACACACAATAGCAATATACGTTAGAGCTGCTACTTTCTACGTCTATGTAAAAATATTTATTATTCTTATACTCTTAAAATGTAGAATAAATAAACCAAAAATATAATATAATAATAATAAAAATAATTACGAAATGTAATTTTTAAATAAAATATTTCTAGAATTATTTATAATATATTATATAGCAAAATTATCTTATTATAATTTGATATGTATACATGCATGTCTTTATAATAATTTTATGTATAACTTATATGCAATCTGAATTTCTCTTCTATTTTATATAATAATTTAAAACTGTTGGGCAAATATAATAGAAACATAAAAATATAAGAATACTTTAAATTATATTATTTATGTATGTTTACATGCATAATTTACATGTAGGTTTACATGAAAAATTAGCATCTTTAAAAAAATTATCATTTTTCTTTGTAGATATGGAATCTTCGCGTAATATTCTGAATCATAAAAAATTTCTATGTTATAATAAAGCTAAAAAATTATAAAAAGAGTTTTTGCAATATATATATATATATATATATATATATATATATATATATATTTGTAAACAATATGATAGTTTAAAGATATTGTGTATATATATATATATATATATATATATATATATACGATATCTTTAAACTATCATATTGTTTACAAATGAGCAAGTTTTGCGCTAAAGAGTGCTTAAAATAACCTTATTGATGACATATAATCCAAGAAATGTTACAAAACCCTCAGCTAACCAAGCGTCAGTTGACAACCAAAGTGGATTTTCAAAATAAAAATATTCCTGCATTATATTATGGGCTATGAAGTGGGCAACTTTGATTTTACTCGCAACAGAATCTATATTCTTATTGTAGATAATATCTGCTTCTCTAAAAATTAAAAATATTTTTTATAAAATCCTTATTTTTGTTGAAAATGTTGTATTAGCAAATTTATAATTAAATAATTCTATAAATTAACATATTAATTATATATTAATGTTTGATAATGTCTGCGCATATGAATGACTCACTGAATGACAAAATAAATACTCGTTTCCGATATATATAATTAATGATCAATAAAAAATATTATATAACCTTAATATAATAAATCTTAATATAATACTTTGCTTAATTTGTAACTTTTAATTTTGTGATTATAAAATATATACAATATTTTAATATTATTTTTCATATAAATTGATTTACATTGAATATATAAACGTTTAGGTATATTTCTTTTATTTTTTCATATTCGATTTTACTTATTTTTTAAAATATAAAAGTAGACAAAGAGAGATACGTAGATAATTTTAGATACAAAGAATTGTTATCTTTTTTTTCATTTTCCGAAAAATATATATTAATTATTTTTAATTTTATAATTACCTAAAAAAAATAAGGCCCAGATTTACGATGCTTTCATTTTGAAAATTAGGAATTACAATGTGATTTATTTGCCAAGTTTCATTCAGCCGTTTCCATTCATAAAATAAGTACAGTGTTATATTTTCAGCAAATTCGTGTGCAAATGCGCAGTCCATTCTACACCACATATCAACTCTGACTCTTTCATTTGTACCAGGTATAAGAGTTAAGTTAGTCAGAAATACAAAATAATTAGGGTTTACGAGTGTAGCATTAAAATATGTCATCATCATGTTTTTATTTTTATCCATTTCTATTGTTTTTATCGGTATATTTGATAAAATTCTATAGTTTGGATAATGTTCTATACTAATATTATAGGGCAAGATGGCTGTTGAAGATTTGGGAATATGTGAAACTATGTGTTCGATCCCAATAGTATCAACATACGCTGCGAACCTATTACATTTACAAATATGAATTAATGATAATTTTCGAAAATTATATAGTAATATTAAAAATTAAATAAAGACAAGATATACGGATAATTTATATAAGAATTATATATATATATATATATATATATATATATATATATGGAAAATTACGGCATAGAGTTTCTTCTTTTGTTCGATATCTTGTATAACATTATATAATTTTATACAACCTAACTTAATAACGATTTTGACATAGTAAAACGTAATGGTCATAAAATATTTATTTTAGAATATAAGATACAAAATTAATAGTTAATATTTAATAGTTAATATGTTAGTATTTTAGTAACAAAATTTAACGCACACACACGCACAATAAAATTAAAATAAATTTCAATGTAAAATAATATTAGAATAAAAACATTTTTTATTTGATTTTAATTGATATATTATTAATCATTCCATACACAATTTTATATATATTGGAGAAACACTACATATTTTAATGATAACTTTAGTTATTCGCGTAATATAGCGAAAATTGTATTGTTTCTAAATAATATTATGCGTGCGCGTATGTGCACGTTTAAATACATGAAACAGCATAAGTATAACTTATATATTTAATTTTATATATAAAATGTTTATGAAAATTGAGTGAGTGTTCAGCATTTAATCAAATTTTGTTAATGACTTCTATGGACTATAAGAATAAATAAATTCATATAAACATGTGTCTAAAAATATTTTCGTTTGGAATTATAATTTTTATAAAAATTTTTAGATCTATATCATCAGCTATATTATAGATTAATTTTATGTTACAAAAGCCTTGATAATAGGCTTTATTAAATATTAATAATGATTTTTTAAAGTTTGGTATTCGGAAACAGTGTAAAAATAAAATATTTGCCAAAATTTTAAATTTTAAATAAGCAAGTTCTATGAAAACAAACATAAATCTTTCAGAATTGTATTATTTAGATTTTGAAAATAATTCAAAACACTACCGGAATATTTGAATTCGTCTGACTGTTGATAATATAATGATGTATAAGATGTGTAGTATTGTTGATTACTTTAATTAAATTAATTTTTATTTGCAGTTTACATTTATTTTAATAATAATGATGATAATAAATTGCAAAATTTGTTATTAAAATCTTAGGAAATATATAATTAGGAATACGAACTTTTCAGATACACACACACATGTTTACATAAATATCTTTTCTTAAGAAATACTTTTTGAAATAAAATGCTGTAACAAGATTCTTTCTTTATGAACTTGCAATTATTATATATTTCATATTTTAATAGTTACTTACCATTGTCGTTCACCTCTTTTATAAAACTTTTTTAGGCCTGCATCATCAGTTACATTATAGATTAATTTTATGACGTAATCTCCCGGCATTAGGTCATTCACGAATATATATTCAGTAACGATCATATCATTATTATAAAAAGATTTTATTGGTGTATAAACGATCATTTCTAATTTTGGATAATTCATAATCACTATTATATCGATAACATGTTTTACGTCTAATTGCAAGTGTATGCTTCGCGTTAATTGTAATATTTGAATACTCATAATATAATAGCCGACAAAAGTATCCTCTTTAACATGTGATGTAAGAAAGATATCATTTTGTTTCGGTATCATATAGGATGATTGTACGTGTGTGCTGTATATGTGCATTGAAAAGGCTGATGCGATGATTGTTAAACTTAATAATAGTTTTAAAAACATGATACTATTTAAATATCTGTAAAAATATATTTTTGTTTTGTACAAACTGAAAATTTAAACACAGCACTGTCTCTATCATAATTTAATAGAGAAGAAGAAAATAAGACAATACATAGATGTAAACATAATTTTTAATGACTTACTGTGTTTTGAGGTATACCACAAATTCTATCCAAATGTATGTTTCGTTAAAATAATTAGCTGCAATAAATTAATGTTTTATTCACTATTGTAACATGAAAAATATATGTGCAGTTATGATTTCTTATTACTTCGAGAAGCTTCCAGAGATTAATAACACTTCGGGTACGCGATATTACAATAAATATGTATGTCATAAGTAAACACACAACTTCTGAAGTCGTTAACAGATGTTTTGACCGAGAAATGGTACGTATTAACAAAGCGAAGGTCTCGGCGCTGCTTTTCCCACTCCAAATGCGTGCTAGCGACCTGTTGTGGGAAGCAGCTCGTCTGCGCTGCGACGATCTAATGATCTAAAGTTTAAAGTAAAAGAAGCGAGTAGAGTACAAAAATATCTATAAATATAAATATATTGAGTCTTTTTATACCATTATTATTTGAAATATTTTATATTATTTGAAAATAGTGCATTCTTTTTATAGAATTTTATTTGAAAATTTGAGAATTTTTATAATTTATAATATGCATTCAAATGAAATTCTATTAATATTTAAAATCAATTCATGTAGATTTTTAAATAAGTTTTGCATCTTCATAAAAAATTTGTCAGTAATCGAATAAAGTGACATGAATTTTAAGAAATTAATAAAGCTCTAAATGTGAAATATAAATTTAAATTTTTCGAAATAGTGAGAGAGAACCAGATGAGAATGTGATAGTGCCTCAGTTTTAGAGAAAATTAATTTTTTTTTTTTTCAAATTAAATCGTTGCAGAGCGATAAGAAAATTTGTAATCATGCGTGAAATATTTTTATAATATAAACGTATCGAGTAGCATTACAGAACAATTAAAATCCTACCCAGTAGAATTAAAATCTTAAGAAATTAAAACGCATTTTATTTTGCATATTACTCAGGGACACGACCTTGAGAACATATGTCAAGATTAAAATCATTAATGATGGGAAGTATGTATAAAAGTGAATATATTTACCAGAATTTTTTATTAATAAAATTATACCAACAAAAAATTCTAATTAAAAGCAATAAATATCATTAACTCTCAATAAATGCAGCGGAAATATTATATAACTTTTCAGCATTGTGACCGTGAAATAAGACTTCCGTGTGTCTACTATATTATCTCGTCTCCGGGATGAATTTGACCTAGTTAGCTAGCTGCAGGAACATGTCACGTTATCTGTGCTGAATGCAGGTAACTTATATGCATGATCAACCGTGTAGGCAAGCTTCAATGAAGAAAGAGGTGAGATGATGCAAATGTACGCGACGTTACACAGTAAAAAATTGTGCGTCCATATGTTAAAATTTTCTTGTGTTACTATATTTTGATTACTCTTCAATGTAAAATTAATATACAATCTATATATTATTATTTTTATAACGTTTTCATGTGTTACATTTATGTCACCTTCATAATTTAACACTTTGTATATGTCTCTTAGAAATAGAATATTATTTTAAGTATTTTGAACATAATCATTTTAAACAATCATCATTTTAACATGTCTCAAAGTCAGTTTAATATTTTAAGAAAAGTAAATAAAGTAAATCTTCAAATAATCTTGAACTTTGACATACAAAAAATAATCAAATTTACTAAAATCAAATGTTCTTATTACAAATAATTTAAATTAAAATAATTACTATTATGTTAATATACTCAACATTTCTTACGAGTTATTGTAACTATTTTTTCATGTAATTTTTAATTAATTTGTATGTTATTTTTATATTACATTTTATATTATATTTGTATGTTATTTTTATATTACACTTAAAGTTAACAAAATTACAAATTAATACAAATAAATGTAAAGTATTATGTCAATTATTTTTAGTTTGGCAAGAAGAAACATACGACGAATGAGTTATTTTAACTTAAAATTTACAGTGGATTTTTTGGGACATGTGAAAAATGTTATAATTAACATTTTATTTTTTACTGTGAATAGATGCCATATCGTATCATGAGACAAAGACTGGGTCAAGTTTAGTGGAACATGGATAGAGTAATACCGTCTCCGCAGTCTATGGATCACACATACACTTGCGTGAGTAAACATTTGCAACGCGTACACACAGTTCTTTATAGAAGAAAAACACTTTTTTGTTGATTTATATATACAAAATATCAAAACTATTTTATTATTTAAGCACAATTATTCATGCTTAAATAATGACACTATCGGAACAAATTATTATTATAACACATTATTAATTTGCTTCGCATTTTTTCTCTTCATTCTAATATTCAAATGGAGAGAATTCGAAAAAGAAATTAATATGATAATTTTGCTTATATAGAAAATATTCATCTTTCATTCGTTAATATATGATCTTGCACTTGAAGGGAACTGTTAAATACATTTTATATACGATCATCAAATTCTACAAAGCTTATCTCTCGAATTTAGTAATATAAAGAGTGTTCTTACAGAAGAGTGATTTTCTCCGTTCTCCATTTTTACATTTTTCACCGCGTGCGTTTGAAGCATCTTTATTTCATCGTTATCTTTAGCAGACAGATGAATTCTTTTTCCGTTCGTCGCGAAAGAAAGAGGCGGAAGTTTATAAATATCACTGCGAAGCAAAAAAAGATATGTATCGATTCGGCCATTGATTATTCAAGTACGTAACGTTCTACATTTTCCTAATTGATCTCTACCGTGCGGGCAATCTTCTTTTTTCATTGACATTCATTGGTTGTCGTCGACCGCGGGAGATAAGAGTCGGAAATAGTTTCTCCTAAAGTCCTATCGACCTTCGCAAGATTATGGATTCATCCTTGGAAGTCCAGTAGGTGGACCGAAGCAAAAAATCGAAGGTTTCTACTAGCGCCGAGATGGGCACGAGATAAATTTTAATATACCAATGAATTTTGTTCCCCTCATACGTACATCATATCGATCTTGTGCCTGATTCCATTTGACACAATAAGCTACTCTACTCATGTGTCTTGGACTTTTAAATTCATACACACAGGCTATATAATAAAAATAATAAAATAATATAATATAAATTTTTTTTAAATGTAATAAAAATAATAAAAAAATATAATAATAAAAAATATAACTCGTGAATAATGTCTTTCAAAATTATTCAATATGAGCAAAATTCGAATTACGATTTTATATAGTTTGCATTCAAGCAGCATTTTTTTCATGTAAATTTCTTCGTAAAAATAATTACCTTACACAAATGATTTAAATAGCGTATTTTCGCGAAAATTTATTAACTAGAATATCTCTACATATTTCATTATATAATACAATCGTCAAAACACGTAATATAATTTTTTGCAACTATAATTGTAATATTATCATAGCTTAAACATATTTTTTATCTATAATTACATAGATTTTTGTGATCTAGTTTTGACGAAGTGACAACGCTAAATACTTGATTGTATTATGGAACTCTCCATATATACGTATATATATATATATATATATATATATATATATATATATATATATATACACACACACACATATATATATATTCTTTTATTTTATATATATATCTTTTATTATATATATATATATATATATATATATATATATATATATGCGGTAGTGAAGATAGGAATAGAAATTGAAATTTCGAGTCCCCTTAGGTATAATTACGCTATTCTATTGCTGTGCGAACTAATAACAGAAACTCTCGTGAACGACAGTTCCGTCCCCTGATTATCCTGGCCACCTGTCACAGCGATTACTCGTAGATACATAATCCGATCGCCGTTTGTCGATGACAGGCGACGTCGTACAGAACGTATGCACGTGCAAGCTATGATTACACACGATGACCATGTTTATTCGCCGCTGTAACCGGCGCCTGACCATCCGAAGATCTGGAACCGCGATGTACGTGCATTTCATCCGTAATGGCAATATATACAAGTTCACGATTGCAATCACGATCTCCGATGCTGTCGAACGCTACGATGCGCAGCATATATCTCGCTGCCTAAAAGCATCACCGAGCGCATCACGCAAATTATAGATGTAGAAAGCACATTAAATTTAACCAATGCACATGTGTTGCGATTGAATGTGCCAGATAATTCTTTTCGTATTATAGAGTATCTTTTTGAATGTATTATGTAGCATGAGGCATTTAAAGTGTTGCAAGCCATTTTCGTATAAAATGCATTATAACAAAAAATGTTTTACATAAAAACTATTTTGTTTGCAGGAAAAAAAAAGATAAGGATATTAATTTGGTTTTAAATGTAAGTGCTAAAATTTTGTAAAGGTCAACTTTAATTCTTTTTGTTAATGGAACATAGTTTAAAAAATATATATACAATTGCTTGTTGCAAATTTATGTTTATTTTAAAAATTACTTTTAAAATATTTTTTAAAAAACAATTATATACTTTATTCTAATTGATTCTTTTATTATTTCTTTTATTATTTCATACATAAAAATATTAAAGTAAAATAAAATGGAAGAATAAATATTTTACGAAGTATTTCATAGTTTATATAAAATTATGTTTATATCAAATTGAAATATATAATATTCTTTAAACTTCAATTTTTAGTTATCGTATCATTATAATCTTTTATGCAAAATATTGTGATGAATCAATTTATATAAAAAAATTGAAATGGTTCTATTAAAAAAATCTAGATTGATCTTAATATGATTTTGGCACCTACACTCCAAAGTCAGACTAATCTTTATATATTCCTATTTTTTTCCTTTAAATGAAATACCTTTTACTTAAAACAATTTTTGCTGTCCGTGAGAAATGATAAGTTGGAAAGGTCGCTATTAGATATCTATAAACGTTTAAATATCTAATAAACCTAATTTTCTGTATTTCTCACTAGGTATAATGTGTACTTTCAAGAATGATTTGTAATATTTTAAATGTCTCACCCTATATATAAGTTCTTTCTTAATATCATTTTAATTTGTAATATAATAATATTAAAATAGGAATACTTCATAAACAAATATATTTCAAGTTTAATTTCAGATTTTTTAGAATTTCTATATATTTATGCTTTAATAAACCTATTTTTGAAAAAAGAGAAACTTTGATGATTTTCTTTGACGGATATTCTATTAAACATAGATATATTATAATTATATTATATAACACATTTCACATTAACTTTATCACACGGTAAATGAAATCAAAACAAGTTTAAAAAATTACAATCTCGATATAGTCGATAACAATCGACGGAAATTAAATAAATTTTGTCCTTTCAATATATTATATTCACATGTATTATGCAATCAAATAATTACACATATATACGCATTTTAAACCCGATTATTAATCCTTCAGCCTTCAAACAGTTTGCTATTCTTCTTTCAATCTTTCATATTAGACTTTCGCCTTGAAAGTCACGTCAGGGTTGCGTCGGATTTTATCGACAAATCACGCGGGTGACACCGCGTGTATCAATGGCCACGAATTCAAGGCGAAGTTCACGGTCTTATCAACGTCATGTACGACATACGGAAAGCTACAGCAAGGGCGTTGGCGGGGGCGGCGATTGGGAGCGCAATGACAAAGAAAGAAATCGAGGCGAGGAAAGATACGATCGTGGTTGCACGATGTATAAAGAAGCGCCGACACCGACGAGAGTGAGACATTTTTTGATTGCTCACCGACAAAGGCGCAGCAGTTTCGAAACGAGATGATTAGCCCAGTGCATCCAATCGTTATGTTGACGCTTGTGCTATTCTTTGGGATTTTCACGCGAGTTCAAGCCGAATATACTAATCGTGAGTAGATTCTGAATATATTGATATATTTTTATCATGTCACACACACACACACACAGATTATGCCTCTGCAAAAATAATTTCGCTTCATGGTAAAAAACACACGAAACATAGAATATACACGAAACATCTGAATATGGTTAACATTCTATGAAAATAATTTATATTCTATAAAAATAATTAAAAAAATTTAGTAACCATAGAGAAAGAGAGAATATTGCTTATTTATTATTTTCTTAAATTTCTAAGAGCATTTTTAATATGGTGAAAAAATGTGCTCCTATAGAAGCGAAGTAATTTTATGATTATTTCGGAATTACTTAAAAATGAGAAAAGAAAAGAAGAAGAGAAGGAGAGAAAAAGAAAGAGAGAGAAAGAGAGAGAGGGAGAGAGAGAGAGAATGTATATAAATATTACAATATAACAATTACTATATAAATATTACAATATAACAATTACTCTTCTGTAATTAAATAAAAAACCATTAAACTCACTTTAAACTTGGCAATTTATAAAAAAATACTTTTAATAATTTTTGACAATGCATACAACTAATATATTATTGCTAAAGACTTAATTTTAAGAAAAATTGTTCTTTACTGCTTTTTTTATACCATGAAATAATCATTTAAATAATTTTAAATGACTTTTTTTAGCATATAAATTATATATGTTTTATATTTTTAATTCTGTATATTACATTTCTTATTTTCCAATTATGCGAATATTACTTTCTGCAGCATGCAACTCGAAATATGATGCCGTGTACTGTGTCTTATTACGCGCGCTGTAATAGTAATAACGAAATGTACATAAAGTATGTACTACCACACGCAGAATGTACTCCTGCGCACTTATTTTCGTAGCTATCCGTGAAGTGGAAACCTAAGGCCTCTTCTGTGGTTCTCAAAGTTTAGGTAGTAAACTTACTTTATCAAACTACAACATCTATAGTAAACTCTGTATTAGTCAGTTCCCTCGAAACTCTGAGAAGCTCGCCAACTATTCCTGTTGCAATTAATTTTTCGAGAACTTATTTACTGCGTGGTGCATTATGCAACATATTTCATTTTGATATTATTCCAGGAAATTCAAGTAATTGTGTTGCCTTAACTTCAATTACGCCAGTTGTGTATTTTTTTATCCATTACACAGATGTCAGAAATCAAAGTGACTCTTTAATGATTTTTTAACGATTTTTCTATGTTAATAATAGAATTTTTCAGATAATTATCTTTTAAAATCTTATAATGATTTCTTCTCAGTTATTATATATTACAATTTAATTTAATCTTTATGCTGTTAATTTATATTTTTACTTGTAATCAATTAAACATAAAATATGAAAATATTAATTTACAAAAATATTAATTTACAAAATAGCATATTAGGGTTACTTTAAATATTTTTCTTTTATAGAAAACAATGTCAAGCATACAAGTCTATTGTAACAAATAATAAAATCATTTATTCAAATGTGATTTTATCTTTCATATTTTTATAATCGATTCAACCAATAACAAGATTATCAGATTACTTATAGGAAAAAAAAGCGATGAGAGATATAGCAAAACAATTATTTTTTAACTTTAGCACGTACCATTTCCCGATTGCATTTGTATGTAAATATCGATTTAGCTGTAAAAAAGTATATTATGAAGCTTAAATGGCGCCAGTAGTACTTGGCACAAGTAAATAGGTAACGAGGTACACGTAAACGGCTTGCAAATCGACAATTGTTATTTTCAAAAATCGACGCAGGAAATATCGAAAATGTATTTTCCGGTAATTGGAACAATGGATGCATAATATTATGCGCATTTTATAAACTGGCTCGTTGCCGCCGTCTCGACGACAAGCTCGACCGCTACGACGACCGCTCTCGTGTTTCTCTGTGGGGTAGCGTCCATTTAACCGAAGTAGAGGCACTAGATGGTGAGCGGAAGTCAATGGAGAATTCGGAATAGGAGCTTGCGGATTACGCTGCAACACCGGAAGTTAATAAACCGAATTTAGTGTTCGGCTTCAGCGTAGCGAACGTTCGCTTCGTCGTTGCTTTCCAACCAATAACCCGGGAATGACTTAACGAGAGAGACTAAATGAGAGAATAAAATGGGATGTAAAGTGGGAGCAAATATATAATCAATTATATATATCGGAGGGGATGGCTCGATGTTTTTAAATATATAGTTTCAAAAAATATTTGTTAAATATACTGGCGATTATTTCGCGGTTTAATCAAGTAATGTCAGTAATAATAGATGTAAAATAGTGTAATAGGAGATGTTGTGTTTCATATAATTTAAATTAATTTTTTTGTGTTTCATATAATTTAAATTTTTTCGGTTAACCTATTGCAAAAGTAAAGCGATATTTATTTATCTTTACTTGATGGGATAACACTCGAGAGAATATTTTGCAATTAACATATTGCAACATCACTAATAGTAATACCAATTACGTTAATAAATTATAGTTTAGTCAAACGAAATGAAATTCGATATTTATCTTTAATTGATTGGATAATACACGAGGGAATATTTTGTGAGATTACGCTTTTACGGTTATTATGCTAATTATGGTTTAGATATTTGATATGGCAGATGACAATTAGCGGCTAAGCATTAGTATATGTGCCGAGGATGTTACATTGATCTAATATGATTAACAGACCCTTGTTTATCATATAATTGCAATTTATCTGGCTGTAGATACATTATATCTCTTATTATTTATTTATATGTATAATCCATAGCTCTTAATAAATTTTAAATTTTATTTGATTTCCTATATGTATTCTATCGACAAAGTAAAAGCTTTCAGATTATTAAAGTAAATTTTATGCATCGATGTAAACCAGAATTATCAATGAGTATGTATTTGGAGACCAATTTTAAAGCTAATTCCTTTAATAGGAGATAGTTCTTTTTTTAGAGATAGCTTTTTACATATGAAATATATTTTTCGCTATTTTGGCAATCGTGTATAACGTGTCTTTTAATATCGATGAAATTTCCACTTATTCAAACAGATAGATACAAGAACGGGTAAATATTTCATTCCGCGTGTGAGAATTCATCGACCAACCAGCCGAACGATCGGAATAAAATGCATGCGCTTGGAAAAAATGATGGAATTAACGCGCCGCAAAAAACTGTCTCCCATGTTGATTTACGTCCTAAAAAGCCCTCGTGCCAGCGACAGCACGTTGATAGATTATTTAAATAACACATCCTGGTGTATAATGTAGATTGTATAGAGTGTCATTATCTCGTTTACAATTCACTCTTTGATGCGAAATATCAGACGGAGCACGTTGACTGGGTGAATTTAATAAAGCTAATTATTTGTTTTATCGGCAATAAAACGCTCGTTTCCATCAAATATTTAAGCACTATATTATGTGAAAGCGAAGCAACGATGGTTTATTCATCACATCGACAGCTGCCTACCAACTATTCCTTCACTGAACAATTACACTGATCATTATGGGCATTAATTTTACGCTTCGTGACTGAGTAATCAACCGCGATGTTATGTGGAAGGGATGGTGCAACATTTAAAATAATTAATCTTTCATATTGCCGCTTACTGAATAAAATTTTGATAATTATTATCACTCAACAGATCGTAATCAGCATCTGGCGCCCATTAAACAAATTATATTGTTGTTTGAAATCCTATTCCCCGAACTCTCTCTGCGCATGTGTTATTTATTTACGTGAATATATATATATATATATATATATATATATATATATATCGAACGTTATTAAAATATTTTGCCGAATTTCAGAAATGGATGACTCGTTTTATAAATCCAACGATTTATAAATAAAAGATAATCAGTATTGCGTGGAAAAATATATTCCTCGCATGAACTATTCGACTCACGGGCCGTTACCGTTATTTCGTTCGATAAATAAATTACATAACTGCGTAAATTACGTTATTGTTACTTCGCCTGTTATGATTGTCTGCATATACAGCCGTTACATAAATGTATTGAAAATCAGAAAAAAATGCAGTTTATATGCATTAAAATTAAATGTATGTCAATGCACAACTATTAATATAAATTTGAAGAAATAAATTTGCTTAAATAATAATAGTTAGTATAAATAATTGAAAAATTATTTGAAAAGGCGTTTTCGAAATATTGAGATCTGCTGTTACGTAAGCGAAAGGTGAGTGCGTACGGAATAGAAGAATAGATGTGGATAGCCTTGCCAAAGGCCAAAAATTGGCAAGTACGCGATCTTGGCGTAGCTCAGTAATTCTCCATACTCTGTAAGCGATGGTTTCAATGTCAAAATCGTGACAAATGGTATCTGGAAGGCTTTTAACCCGTACGAGGTCACGAGAAGGCTAAACTTCTAATATCAGTAAATCTACGACTTATCGGTAGAAAAAGATAGGAATATATATTTTACTGCTCTGCGTTTCAGTGATATGAATGCAAATTATGGAGACTCTCCAGCATACGTGCAAAATTTATTATATTTTTCTGAAAAAAATTTACAAATGTCTCAAATTTTTATTTTATATTTCTCAGTCTTCCGTTTTATTATTATCGAATGTCGCTTTAATAAGTACATACATTTAACAGGAAACTTGTTGTAGGAGCAATATCAAATTATGAGATTTATAGGACGGATATCGAATTATCGATGAGATTGTATAATTACGTTATTCTTAATTTGAAATATTAAAATTAAAAACCTACTCGTAAAATACATTTAACAATATATCATGTGCACTACGATATATGTATAATACGATAACAAATTTTATATCTCTAACGATTCAAATTGATACAAATAAAAGCTAGATGTATAGTCAGAGAATAATCTCCAAGTAAGCAACTTTTATCTCGATTAATTTTTCAGATGAGATATCGAGCATGAAATTGTTTCGACGGGTGTCCATGTTAGCCTCCAGATTTATCTTATCGTTGGCAGAGAATCAATATCGAATACAACTTAATCTCATTCATATCTAAGATATACAAGATAGAAGAAGGATATTATGAAGGATGCACAAGTCACTGAGCAGAGTGAAATTTGTAGAATTAAGAGAAATAGTATACCATTCGAATTTTCCTCTATCAATCGTCTCAATCAGTTATAAAAGCGATCGACCGACATGGCAATGTTCCTCGCGTATTATATGACCTCACAGATCCGCATAGAATCCAGATTGCCAATACAACACAAGCGCACTGCGACTTCGACTGCCAAGATACCGTCGATTTATAGCCACGGTCAGGTTTTTCCCGAAAACACGCGAAAAGAGAGTGGTCTTTTTTCGACACTCCCTGAGCACAATCCGATCCAGGCAGGAAGGATAAACGGGGCAGCTCCGCGTTCATCCCGGAGCCACCAAACCGAGGCATCGACTCGTATTATCATGATCGCGTCCCCGGGCTGGTTTTGACATATCTATTACGCGTTTCGGAATAGAGGCGACTTCGAATTCTATGCCCCCCGTTTCGCCCTCCCGCCGTCCTGGCCGCTTCGACGTCCTTTCCTCGTCCGTTGTGGAAGAGCGACGGGGATGGGAAACGCGGTGGTGCCGGCGTAGAGGTCCAATTAATCAGTCGGGGCGTGAAACGAGAGAGGGGGAGCTGATTCGGAGGGGAGGGTGCTTTAAGAGGGAGAAGGAAGGGTGAGGGAATCGGGGATGCAGAGCGGGGGTGTCGCAGGGATTGTAGTGACAGATCCGCCGTATCTGTCCCTATCTGCTCGGGGCATTAAATTCGCGCGACGCCAACGCCGTGCCGCCACCAGAGAGAATTCATTCGAATCGGTTAACATTCCGGTAACGCAGCGATTCGGGTTTCAATTAAATGCAACGCCGTTAACAGACCCCCATCGCGCTGCACCGGGGCAGATTTTAAGAACGTAATCCCATTGACTTCTACGAGAGTTCATTCGAAAAAATCAGAAAGAATCAATAATGCGTTATTATCAATGCGATGCTTCTCCTCAAATATACTGAGTCGTTTCCTTTGTAAGAATATGATTGAATCGGTTATAAGGGTACGTATCTCTCAATTTTCCAGCAAATCCGAGAAATTCTTTCATTATTTTTTTAAAAAAATATTTTTATAGAAATTTGAACATCAAGCAATTATTAAAAAATTAATATGTAACTAATTATGATCCAAAAATTATATTGAGTTTTATGTACAGCAATATATGTGAAGTAAAAATTTAATAATAAACACTATTGTAAAGATTCTTCTGCGTCCTTCTACAGCGACCGAGTCAATTACAATTTGGTGTAATTGGTGGAAATTAATTGTGCATACTAATTAATTGTTGCGTACTAATAATGATAACAATTTATGATTATTGCTATTGGATAATGATATTGATGATATGGATAATTGTCAATTGCAACTGAATATATTTTCATTGCATTTTGACTGCATCTATCACATTGTAACATTCACTTATCGTAATATTTATTTGCATCTTATACTAAAAAATGGTTGTCTTTTCTTCTTAAATTTATATTTATATAATTGATATTTTTTAAAATTTCTTTAATCTTAATATATTGATAAATCTCTCCTCTTTCTGCAGTTTTTAAATACTTTGATAATAATAATAGATTAAATGTAAGCGAAAGGAATTGAAATAAATAAAAAATAAATCAAATTCTTTAAAATTTTTCTAAGAATGGCAACCGATATTATTTTTAAATTTTGATTAAAATAATAAATCAGGCAAATAAATATAGTTAAAATTATATGCTGTTATTTCGTAAAAATATTAACTCTCACAAAATATTTCTAACAAAATTTCGCCCTTAAGTTTTACTATCGATAAATTTTGCTTAAATAAATTTTGTTTAAAATGTATATACCTATCTTTACAATTGATCATAATATCATTGAATTGTCTGTCAAGATTTCTATCATACGCGCAAGTCGCTCTATCTATTGGGACCGATATCACAAATATTAATCATCAAATGAGATAAACGACGATCAATAAGCTGTTAATATGCTCTCATAAACAAACGGTAACTCGGAATAATCAAAACATAATATAACAATATTATCAGTATCTAATAGCAAATGCGATTCTACTAGTTTTTTAAATTTCTCTTATAAACTTGCAAACAGTTTGTCATCGATTAGATGTAGAATAAATAAAACATAAAATAAATACAGGATAGAAGCTATGAAACATAGAAGCTTTTTATACATTTCTAATGTAGGAATTTGCGGATGGTAGTAAATTGCATAAAAATATACAAAAAAAAATACAGAAAAAATATTACTATGAGAAGAAACAATATCTTAATCTCGTAAAAAATTTAAAATAAGTTAGTTTTTATAATAAGTTAAAAAGAGAGAGCGACACTGACAAGATGAAACATTGGAAGTATCATTAAATTATACAGGACGTTATCCAATTTAGACACTCTCAATGTGTCGATACTCATCTTCGTTTCGTTCACGCAACAAAAAGAAAAAAGAAATTGACGCCTAAGATCATGTCGCAATCGATCAATGCGACACTGATGGCTTTATATATTGCGCCAGAACTTGCAACGAGATCACCGAGGCAATTAATCGTTACCGAGCATTAACGAGGAAATCCGTATTTGATATTAGTGGCAGATGTTCCATGCGGTAGAAGCGGGATACGAGAGGCGAGAATTGTCGGAGGTCAGGACGCAACGCCACGTGAATTTCCATGGCTCGTAAGCATAACGAGAAAGGGTGGACACTTTTGTGGGGGTGCCATCCTGAATTCCAGATTTATACTCAGCGCCGCGCATTGTTTGTGTTCGTAAGTAATATATGTTACATCACGATATAATTTTTTTTCTAATTAATTAAAGTTGTATATGTAAAAATGGAGTGAATACTAGAGAAAGAAACAGAAAGATATATATGTGCATCTGTATTTCTGTATGTGTATGTGTAATATAAATAGAAAATACAGAATATGTTCTTAATTTTACTTATACTTCCCCAACAAGTTCTCAAAAGAGACATCTCTTCATTAACAGAGACTACACGGACTATAAAGGCTAAGTCCTTTACAAAGTAAGTTCTAATTTCAACAATCGATCGGAAACTTACAATTTCTTGTGACAACTTTTAATGGGATACGTGCATATTAATTCTTGTTAAATCCCTCCTCCATCCGCAAAGGAGACCTGATTATTATTGTATTATTATTTTACATTATTTATGTATAAAATAAAATTATATATATATATATATATATATATATAAAATTTTATTTTAATAATAATATAAATAATCTATAATAATAATAATAATAATAATAATAATAACAACAACAATAATAATAATAATAATAATAATAATAATAATAATAATAACAACAACAACAATATATATATATATATATATATATATATATATATATATATAACCCGCGCGTTTAATATTATCAAAAATATTTTATTAAATATCAATTTTGTTTTAAATTTCGTGATTTTAATAGTATTTTGATTGCATTGAATATTATTCAGGGAATTTAATGTTTGATGTTAAAGAAAACTTATATTACGAAATATTTATTAAAGGAAAATTAATTTCAAAATTTGAAATAAAACTCTTATTGTAAAAATTCAGCAAGATTTTTTTTCTATAATTAAATGATAGTTATTAATATAAGTTTCTCTCAAATATTGTTGTGATTATTATTATTATCTACATATTGACATATTATCATTGAGTACTGTTTGTTCAATATTATTATTATAAAGTTTATTCAACTTTATTTTATTTACAAAATTAATATCAATTTTTTTTTAAAATCAGAAAAGTTAACATCAATCTTTTAAAAAAAAATAAAAAAAAATCAGAAACGGAAAAAGCACGCACAAAAAACTATGCATGAAAAGAAATTTTAAGCAGAACTTAATGTGCATATATGAAAATTATGCACATAAACGTCACAGTAGAATTTAAACTACACTGCAGGAGCATTGGTCCCTGTTATACAAATATGACAGATGCAACTCTGCGTATCCGCATACAAATTTTGTTGTATTAATATGTCAAGTTGTAATAAAAACGAACAAATCTTTCACAACAAAAGCTATATTCTATAGCTATGTTCTATATAGATTTGTTTAGAGAATACTATTGCTAATTAAGTACAAATTTCTCCTAATAAAATATACAATATGGCGAAAGAAAGAGAGAGAGAGAGAGAGAGAGAGAGAGAGAGAGAGAGAGAGAGAGATGCACATACTTAGTATAGATAAAAATGAATTTTATAAATCTTATTTAAATATGAGCTTATCAAATGACTGTAATGTGATTATTAATTTTAGATTTTTAATTTTTACAATATGGATTATGTTACTAAGTATAATAAAACAAATAATTGAAAGTAAATTTAATGAATGTGACAACACAAACTGCTTCCTTTTCAGAGAAATTTAAATATTTTATATAATATTGAAAAATAATATATCTTTTTTTAAAATGACATTTTCTGTAAAGTTGATTGTTTTGCATATAAAGTTTAGTTTTCTTCACGCAGTTTGAGAATATTTTTCCAATTTTTCACGATATCGCATTCTATTATATTTATTCACATTGTCATAATAATGATTTCAATTTTTACAATTGTTATTGAATTATTATTAGTATATTGAGATATCAGATGATTATAACCACCCGAATTTAAGAGCGGCATTGCAAAAAAATGTTCCAACATAATCTAGCCTAAAATAAATACATAAATAAGAATATCGAAATTAATTAGTAAGAAAAATTTTATATTTAGCACATGCGAATCTAAACAAAATAACAATTATTCTTATTATGAAGAATATTATTGCATTTTCACATACATATATGTTATAGCATATTTATATTTTTTCCAATTGTAGTGAATTTAAATATTCTATTTTTTATGAATTATGCTATCATACTATATCGTTGAAAATCTTACGATATTTATCTTTGCCGAGCGAGCGAATACAATAATAAGTACGTATGATTATGTCGCACATTAAACGGATAACAATCACTATTACTGCATAGCAGATGAGTTTACTACGCAGCCGTAGTGATATATGCGGGACACCTTTCGTGTAGATATAATTAAACGGGCGAGCAGATCCCTATAGCTGGGTGAGCAACAAAACGTGCAGATATTGCGTATCCCTTTCGGTTACTGAACAGATTACAGAGGAACGGGGTGGAGAGGGCGATATATAGGGGCCGCTCGGGGGTAGCGAGCGACTGCAGAGAGAATTCAGCGCCGAGCTTTGGCGTTGTAAACCATGATTGCGTGTAGATTACAGACCACTCAGTAATTGCTAGCAGCCATGCAAAACGCACGGAAACCGTTGCAACAAGACGCGAGGCGTCGGAATATGAAAATGAAGGTGACTGTCCATTTTTGTCACATTTTAACCCTTATCTCCTTTACCTTCTAACTTTCTCTTTTTCCCTTTTTGTATCATTTATGCAAGAACAAATTGACTTCTAACGTGTATCAATGATACCTAACACTCACTTACATTTATAGTGATTAAATTCTTGGTCATGTGACTTCTCGTTATCGTAAAGGAAATATTGCAGAATAAAATTCATTATGATTTATTTTTTAATCTTCTTAAACATTTCAACACTGATGCAGTGAATAATCAGTTTGCTATAATTTAAAATTCTTTTGATATAAATAAAAATAATATTATCACATCATACAATCATCTTTGTCGCAGAACTTAATCCAGGGAAAATATCGACAATCCAAAATAGTGCGTACAGCTTCGGTATAACTCAAACTAACTGTACGCACACAAAATAGAATTCGCTGAATTAGCGAACAACCTAAACAAATTATCACGCGTTGTTCTATCAAACTGATGGCGTGGCGACCAATTATTATTAATACAATGCGTGCTGCGAATAATATGGTTGATTAATCATCATGCGAGCAGATATGAATTATACCCGGATGGTGATACAAGAACTGGCAGCCTAGCGACGCAGAGTCGATATTTCTCGTTCGGCGATATCGCACGGTAAATTAATGTTCAACAGTACCTTATTGCTAACGTCATTCTCCGTTCAACGTTGCGTAATTCACGGCTGCGTCCCGATGCCGATATAGTGGTGCCAGGAGAGCCGCACGATATTTAACAAGCCGGACTGAAATTAATTCCAATCGATTTACCGATTCAGCATCCAATTAATTTTTAACGAGGCCACCGGTGTGTAGAAAAAAGATAGATCCGCTGTCGCACACCCGGATAGAGCAAACATTGTCCGCGTACAATAAAAAGAGAACGCACATGTACAATTTAATTGCAACAGTGTACGCTGAGCAATTAAGCCTCGTTTTAATTTATTTTAGTAAGTGGAAAAGCGACATCACACAATTTTGCTTTTTCATTACTTATCTTTTGTGAATAAGTAGAAAAAAAGTGCGCGTCAAAATATAAGGACTAAAAAAATTAATAATAAATTTTAAATTAAATGCTCATATATGGATATGTACATATATATGTATGCATGCATATTACACTAGGATTAAGTTTGGTTTCATTTAATCTCATTATATATATATATATATTGATCTGAGATTAAAGCAAAATAATTTCATACATCTCTGTATTTAGACATTGTGAAATATTTAATAGTTAATTAATATATATTAATATCTCATTTGTTATCAATCGGATTGCGTTTTGCATTTGGATTTGCGTTCATCATTATATAGGTGAATTTTATATAAAGAAGAGACAAAATGCAATTCGATTTATAACACTAACAAGATATAAACTTTCATCTATTGATAATCATGAGACATTACTTATAGACAATATATAGGTGAATGTAAAAAACTATTTCGTTAAGAAAAATGTACATAAAAAATATGTGATGCATTTAAAAAATTTTCAAACAGGCCAGTTTGTCACTAATTTTATGCATTTACTTAACATCGAGATTATCGCGTCTTTTAATAATAATGATCTCAATCTGTGTCAATTTTGTAATATATTTGAAATTGATTTTTGCTAACAAAATATCAATTTATAAAGCGAACATTTACGTCCAAGTTGGTTAGCCTACACAAATCACGTCGCTGCAATCATTGTGCTCCTCGGTGCAACGTCTGAGCGGTCGCGCATTTTAATTGGAAGAGCGCAGCGACAGGAAGAGAAGGAGATGCATTGAAAGTAAACCGTATAATCCGCGAGTCGCGGGACAATAGAGGGGACTCGACGACGATGGAAAGGTCCATTAAAGCGGCTTTGTAAGAAGCGGCGACGAAACAGGCCCTGGAAACTTAGAAAACGCTCCGCGATAAACTTCTAAGGAAGAGAAGGCGAGGGAGAAAGGGGTTGCTTGACGAAAGTGGAACGGTAGGGTGCTCGTGAAACATAGTGAAGGAACGCTGGGCAGAGAAGGGAGAAGGAACGGGTACAACGGATAGTCCTGATGGAGGGGGTGTCGTAATTTTGTTAATTATTCAGAGGCACCGTAGACCGATTAATTAACTGAAGCCACTCCGGCCGGGTCAGGTATTCAAGAGTGCTTTGCAGAGACGCGGACGCGTCGTTCGAGCGGCACAAAAATCCCAGTTAAATAATTACCGACTTTCCAGGGAAAGAAACTGCGAAAGAGAGTCGGAATTCATTGGCGCAATTGAGGGGACCGTGAACGGGGGCGGGTGATACCGGGATATTAATCGACGGCGGATAACTTTTTGTTCCTCCAAAATGCATACACGTGATTTGGAATTGTCGAATTGGATTTGTCAAATTGAACAAGTAAAAAAGCGACGGGAACGTCATTTGAGTTTTCGCATTCGCATTAATAAGACGCAAGTATTACTATTCATATTATTTTGTTTCTCATTTGTTGTTTTTGTTATATAAACAATAAAAATTTGTGCAGGTGGCGTCAAATGTTTCGAAATTTTATGAACGACAAACGTTTCTCGAATTTTTTACTTGAATTTTTATTCAGCCAATTATTCATGCACTCTTTCATCTTCTCATTTAATTTTTTTATTCAATTTTTAATAACTGCGAGCAATTAACAGTGATTCTATAGATAATGAAATATTTCGTATTACTTAATTGCGTTATTACATTATGCTGAAAAAATAAAAACGTGAATTAAACGAATAGATTTTATTCGTACATCTTTATAGTATTATTTAATATGAATAATACCCTGTTGTTTTAATCATGTAATTAATATTTTTTACATTTTTTTGCATATATTTTTTCTGGAGAAAGAACAAAAAGAAATCTAAATATTTTACTAAAATTATGATATATAATATGGTTTAATTAAAATATAGTAATAAAAATTATTATATATATGTATAATAAATACAGACTGAAAATCGCTATATCATTCGTAAATTGAATCCGTCATCACTTTAATTTCAGCGGCACGAACAAGATTCCGGTGGGACAATTGCGTGTCACGTTAGGCGAGCACAATTTAAGGGCTCCAGAAATGCCAGCCGCAAGACACGAGAGCGTCATAAACGCAGTATTGCACCCTAGTCACAGATGCGGCAAGTATGTAGACGATATTGCCCTGCTGGAACTTGCTAGACCGATCAGCTGGTCGGAAAGCGTGAAACCCGCATGTTTACCTGTGGCCACAGGAACACCAGGATATAGCACTTTCGGCGGTATGGAAGCCATCGTAGCCGGATGGGGCTGGCTCGGGGAAGATCAAAGCAGATGTGAGTAAATAATTATTTCCTTTTCGATACCGAAAAGATTACGGAAGTCTTGGGATGGGCTTCATTACGTCAATTATTCGAACGGACTTTGATATCTCGTCAAATAGGATGTCATAATAATATTTGCTTAAAATTATATTGTGATGGAAATTTTAACTTTTCTCGCATTATTTGATAAAAGAATTTTTTAACATGCTTTGTGACGTATAATGCTGTGTCAAAGTGACTACGAAATTAAAACATTTTGTTTATTAAACATATATTTCAAAATTAAGAGAAAATTGAAATAATGAAGCTGAATTTTATTTTATTATTTTTATATCATAAATAATATAATAAATATAGTAATGTATAAACGTGTTCATGAATTTAATTGCACTTTATGTTATACACTTGTCTTTTACTAACTTATCTGAATTAAAGAGGTTTAACTTATGAATGTTTTAACCCTTTTTAACCCTTAACGGAATTTTCTATCAGAATCAAATGTCAACAATATTCAAGTACTCTCAAATGCTTTCGATTTCTGCCAATTATTAGTAATTGGCATATTTCAAAATATATGTAAGCATTTTGTACATTTATACGCGATTAATGCATGCAACATAAAATTAGTAACGAGGGGTAAATAAATTCTTGCTAGAATATAACGAATATTAGATTGTGAATATTCTCGATGTGTTATTCAAGGTATTCATAAATACTTGAGATACATTGTAAGCCTGAAGTTTCGATAAATCTTAACACGATAATAATCGAAGCGACGACACACGCACTAAAGTTTCCATAATCATCAAAGTTTCTACGAGCGTCGAAATCCTACAGATATGAATAGAAATCAATAAAGTAGCCAAAGTCATCTTAATCATAAAACAAAAATCGTCAAATTGCATCATTTATAGGAAAAAAAATTTTAATTTTCGATCAATGTATCAATTATGAAAGATAATATTACAGGAATTTTGTATATACTTAATTAATTTTTTTCTGAATATATATATATATCACAATATGATTTAAGCAGATTTAATTTAGTGATTTATTTACTGTATATTTATTATTATTATTATTATCATTCTATTCTATTATCATTCTATTCTATAAAAAGATTGAAAGTTATCTAATTAAATCGTCGACATAAAAACCCTTATTTAAACAACTATTGACATTCAATGTTTATATTTCAATCGAAATCAACAAGTTTAAGTCAGTGATTTAAAAGAAATCTCGTCTCGGATGCGCGATGATTTTTGTTCGTGAAAGAGAGTTGCCGCATATATCGAAACGATTGCCATTATGTTCCAGACAAGAGAGCGGACGTGTTGCAGAAAGTGGAAGTTCGCGTGGTAGCAAACACTGTATGCAGCGAATGGTATGCGAGTCAGGGCAAGTCGACCCGCATGGAATCAAAGCAGATGTGCGCCGGCTGGGAGGAGGGTGGAAGGGATTCTTGCTGGGTAAGTAAAAGGGTACCTCTATCGCATTTCCCGATTTATCCTCGGGTGCAAAATGTCCGCGTGTGCATTCGCATTTTTTGCGCATTCGCGCATCGTTGCTTGCATCGGCGCCGCTTGTCGATCGTCCGATCACGGAATTCATGGTTCGTCGGGCGGGCGCGACGCGAATTTCAATAAATACCCACGATACCGTGGTAATACGCATACAATGCTGCTCGGGCATGATAGCCGACCATGCCGGATGATACCGGTCCCAGGTAATTGGATCGTATATAATTGCATCGGCCTCGCTCCGCGGATCTCTAACGTCGGCTGATCTTTATGCAAAATTGGGATAGAGATGGGAAAAAGAGCGATAACGTTTAATAAAAAGACAGAAAGTATCGTATCGAGCTTTCTGCATTATCGCCTTCATTATGTGTGACGAAGTGAATAAAGAACATGACAAATTGATTAAAAAAACTTTTAGAAAACTTTGTTTAAAAAGTTTAATATTAATATTAATGATGAGAGGACGTGCTTTACATGAAATATATCTATCACATGTAGCGAGAAAAATAACTTTTTTATAGACAATTAATAATATTTATATTTAGCTAAAGTGTTTAGTAAATCGCGATACATAAATTATATATTATAATTGAATTTAAGTCAATTGCGCTTATATGCTTCCAATATTACAAAAATATTAATAATATTAATGATAAATATATATGCATATACCAAGCTCTTATCTAAAAATCATGCTTGTCTTCTTTATGTTCGAAAGAATTGAAAGGAATGTCATTTACAATGTTATCATATCATAATAATCTGAAAATCAATTTTTATTCTTTTTCTTTTTTATGTTATATTTCCTCTCGGGGGAATGGACAATACACACTTCCCCTGTCTTGCGAATGTTAAATTCACGTTGTCAATTAAGACAATAGTTTCTATGAAGGAAAACCACTTTCCACGAGAATTCGTAGCATTATCAAATCGGAGCAAAAATAAGAATAAGATAAAAATAAGAATATTAACCGCCTTCTTGTCTTCTCCGATAAGTTTTCTCCGTGTCTCCGTCACATTCTTATCAGCAATTTCTATTTCCCCCAGACGAAGATATTCCCGGGAAAACAATTGAGAACGGACATATTGCTTCGAAATATATCGAGGAGGGAAAAGTACAATATGGCTGAGGATTCCAATGGGAATTGAGATGTGCTAGATTTCTTGTTTACCTCGTTTGCGCGAAAACTAGGACTGGCAACTATAAAAATTGATTTCGAAGTAGATCGAATATAGCGCGGTCGGAATCATAACGAATCATCCTATAATATATTTCCGAATGCATCGAAAAATATTTTTTAAATATTTATATGTAGATTATTTCAATACATATGTAGATTATTTCAATACACTTCCAATGAGATATGATTATACAATATACAATCATTTTTGTTAATTTTGCATTTTTACAAAATTCATTTTTAAAAATTTTTCATTTTTAAATAAAAGAAAAAATATGAAACTATAAAATCATATTCTATTATTCTAACATTCTCGACAAAGGAATATTTTAGTGAGCAGGAAACGTATTTTTTGTCAAGATTAAAAATCATTTTTTCTCGATAAAGATGTTTCGCAAAACATCAAAAGCAATTATCGAATCTATTTTAATTTTTTATGTGAAAAAGAAAGAAAATAATTCACAATTAAAAATTTAAAAAAATTAATTGCCCTTCATATCTCGTAAAATTTTTATTGAGGAAAAATAGTTTTCTTTCTTAATTATTGAAGAAAAATCCTTAATTTATTGAGCAAAAAATTTTTTTTTCTTAATTGCCCAAGAATTAATACACGAAGTAAACTTAATATATAACAATAAATATTATGCTTGTAATATCTTATGATTTTCATCAGCAATGAAATTTATGATCCGCGTATGTGTACAACGATAATTTACGTTACGTAATAGATACTCCTTTCGTAATCCTAGAGTCCATATTAGAGCAAGTGGAATTTGCATCGCGTCGTTTAACTACGGAAGCTTACGGGATGTGCGGAGACGACATTGCACACATCCTGTACTTTATTTCAGGCTGACAGCGGCGGGCCCTTGATGGTCAGAAGTCATCCTGCCGGGCCCTTGATGGTGATCGGGGTGGTCTCGACCGGTATAGGCTGCAGCAGACCACGACTTCCTGGCATATATACGAGAGTTTCGGACTATGTTTCGTGGATTACGCAAGAGACACAATCCGGTCGATGATGGAGGAAAGTACAAACATGAGCTTTCATCTCGATGCCCAATTTCGTCTAATTCTAAGAACGAATTTGACTCGCGTCGATGATTAAAATAATTACCTCAAATTAATAATATTTTTTCCTTTATCACATAATCCTTCATCACATAATACAAAAAATTAATCATTCCAAACTTATAACTTTATTAAGAACTTATAATTCTATTTTAATTTATATTAAATTATTTAATTTATATTATCTATCAATCTATTAAAATATTTTGAAGATGTTTAAAAGAAAGTTTTTCAAACGTCTTCGAAACATCTTTTAGATATGCGTCTAGTTATAATTGTAATATAAATAGAAGAAGCAAATCGATTAAATATACAATTATATAGTGCTAGTCAATTAAGATAGACAATTAATCTGTTATTAATGATAAAAAACGAAATTTTCATTTCAAGAGTAGTCATATATGATGACGTAATTAATATTCCGTCATATTGATAAAATATTGTACATTTATTGTACGTTTATTACTATAATTGGATAGTAAATATGATAATTGTTATTAGTTATCTGAAACTGAGATGTATTTACATATCATAATTCTCTCTCTCTCTCTCTCTCTCTCTGTTTATTTTGAAGACCTTTTATGTAATATCGTTGCGAACGAAAATATTTTATTTATATAATATTTATTTACGTATTTCATAATTAATGTAGTAATAAATAAATTGCTTTTGATCGAATATATATATATATATATATATATATATATATATATATACACAGTGTAAATTCTTATAATATGATAAAATCATAAAATTGTATTGATATTGCACAATTGATTAAAAAAAGCAAAATGTGAAAAGAAATAACTATATAAATTATATATATATTTATATAAAGTATGATTATAATAAAAAAATTATGATAAAAAATAATAGATAAAAAAAGATATATAAGAACAATTCAATCTTATTCAAGATTATATTTAATCTAGTCATTTATATGTATATTCCTATATAATATATGCCTAGTATAACATGTATGTGCCCAGGTAGCATACGGTCGTTTTATATACGTTTCTTAAATGCATCTAATATTTTTTAACCGTAAAGGATTAATAAGAAACGTTCCTATAGAAACGATTTTAAAACCATAGTTAAGGAAATGTATTTCTTACGTTTCTATAGACAAAATGAAAACAAATTTTTATTAATTTCAAATTAATTTTAATTTATATATACATATGTACATATATATACATATGCATACATACATACAATATATATATATATATATATATATATATATACACATATATAATTATTATGAAAACTATTATATTAATTTCTATTTACAAATATATGAATAAGATCACTAAGAATCAGTATTTCATTGATCTCTAGTAGAAACGCTTCTTTTTTATTACTTTATCTTATATCTTATTAATTATAGTCAGTGGAAGTAAAATTTTACCACAAAATCAGTAATTGCTGGTCGTTTGTTTACCGCTACGGTGCGCTATTTTTCTCGTACTTAAGTTTTAATCATGAGGATTATATAAAGCTTGAAAAAAGACGACAGATAAAATTAAAAATATCACTTCGATTTAATTTCTGATAGAATCTCAATAGAGGAATTTCAGATATTAAATCGATTTTATAAGTCGGACATGTCCGGCAAATAAACAAAAATGATCTGTTCATTATATTAAAGATGTGTAAAATAAATTATCATCTATTTAACATTCATGTTCTAATATGCATGTAAATATAAATAAAATTTTTAATTTTATATGAAGTAGATAAATTAATATTACTAATTAAAACAGTCAATGTTAATTCTTTTAGTGAAATATTATCGATTCACAATGCTATAATAACTTATAACTGCATATCAACTGTATATCAGTAACTCTGTTTACTGTTTTCAGTATACTGATTCATTTTTAGAGAATGTGTATGAATGCATTCTTTATTAATTCCGTAAAAACCAAATGTTTTACGAATAAAAGAAAAAAAATGTATTTTAAACGTATTTTAAACATTTTTTAAACGTTTTTTTTATTAGAAAAAAAGACGTATCTCTTAACGTTCTTCAAGTGGACATTTTAACCAATCAGAAACGTTTTCAAGAGTCGGTTATAAAACGTTTCGAAGAAACATTTGTGAAACGTTTTTGAAACGAATATGTGTTACCTGGGAAGTAACTTGAAATAATAAAATTTTAATAGGTTGTGTAAAGTTTAGTTATTTGGCAATGTGAAATAATGTGTATCATATGTAAGTCTTATAAGATCTATTAATATATTCATTAATATTTTCACAATTAATTATAATTTATAACGTATAATAATCACACTCTTCTTTGTTTTCGTGGTCTAGGTGGACACCAACTTACTCTAGTAGCATCTGTAATTGATATAACATTTAAACCTGCCATTTGAAAGCCTTTTATAGAAGACTGAAAAACACAACATTAGTCAGTATTAGAAATATATTATCTATTAAAAGAAACAAGTGATAATTTTTTTTAAATACAGACCATTCTACCTGCTCCAATACCTTGTATTCGTATTCTCACCATATTTACACCATAGTCCAGAATACGCTAAATAATAGATATAAATAAAGATAAATATATATATATATATATATATATATATATATATTCATTATTCATTCATTTATAATACATGTGTGTTTAACATAATGCATCGTATAATTAAGCTTTTAAGAAACACATAATCTATACTTACACTAGCGAGTGTTATAGCTGCTTGTTGACCAGCAATATTTGTCCCTTTCTTAGCATTTTTAAAACCTTCTATACCAGCTGTATGAGTCATTATTACTAGACCCTTACTATCAGTAAAACTGAAAATTGTATTATTAGGAGATGATTTTATATTAACAATGTGTAAATCTTTAAATGGTACACCATTAAAGAGTCGATTTGGTGTATCTGCATCAGGAAATAAGTCCCTAAAAATATAATAAAAATAGATATTATTTTTTAATCAATAATGTAATAAGCCAATAAAATATAATGCAGTAAAATATAACTATGTATTAAATATTTTTTAAGTCATATTACATCTACCATTATAAAGTCATTCATATCCAATATAATTAGAGATAGTTAGGCAAGGTTAGTTGTAGTAGGGTGATGTGTAATTAGTACTTACTGTTGATTAATATTCAATGCTTCGACTGTAGTTTCTCCTTCTATTAATCCATATTTTGAGCCTCTGCCAACCTTCACTTTTTCGTTTTGTGATCGAATCTCCTTGCAACATGTTATCGTGGTGCAAATGTTTTTCGAGGTTATAACATTTAAATTAGTAAACAATGAGGTCAATCGACCATCAGCTGACACGCTTCCCTTTAATACAGGAAATTTCGTCATATGTAAAACAGACTTAAACATTTTAGTTTAATAACTTAATGATATCTTATATTTTATAAGAAATAAATAAGTGAGAAAAATTTTAAGAAGAAAACGGAGTAATCACTTCAATATATAAACAATATTGTCGCTATTGCCATCTCTGTGTTTCTTGCAATACTATAAGCAGAGAGAAGACTGATTGTGAGAGATGTCATGGCCTGCTTTTAGGGGACAGAGAGAAAACTGAGAGATGTCATGGCCTGCTTTTAGGTGATTCCTGAAAGCGATACTCTCTCTATGAACATTAAAAATGTGGACATGAACTACAAAGCCAATGTCCATGAATGTTCTCAGAGGGTATCATGTGCACAATTTCTGGTTTCGTTCCGTGCTATGTGCACGAAATGCCGGTAGCACCAGAGTATAACAAGACACTCATGTATATAAATTGATAGTAAATAAATTATGCAATCGTGAAAGATACTGTAATCTTCCAATGTAATGTTCAAAGATGAAATAAATATTTTTATTCATATTTTCTATTCATTGCCATGTTTATATATTTTTATTTACAAAATACAAAATGTCTGCTGTGGAATAAAAACATTTTTAACCGTTATTCTATAAATCTTAATTAGCAATAAACTGATCTTTGATATTTATTAATCACTTTTTTAATTATTTAAAAAAGTTATTATATTATTAATTATTTACTTATTTATTTATTACTTATTTAATTATTAATACATGTATAGAATTTCAATCAGTGATTAATTTGACAGATTGTTCTAAAGTTTTTATAATTAAGATTCGAAAAATATAGTTGCAAAATATTTTAAATATCTCTTCCTTTATATAAAATATAAAGAATTCATATGTTCCATTCTAATATAGTCAACATTATTTATATACTTTTATTATAATTTTCTTACCAGCATAATATTTTTATGCTTAATATTTTATATAATACAATGTACTAAATTATAAAATTTAATATAATTACAAAATAGTATTACTATTAATAAATAGGTTGTATTCATACTGTCTTTTAATTTCTAATCATTTCCAATCACTATGCATTTCTATTATCTATTTCTATTATCTATTATTTTCTTCTTCGAGTTCTTGGATTAGTTCTTGGTTTATTGTATATTCCTTGGTGTTAAAATCATAGGGATTATCATCATTTGTCATGCTTATTCCTTCCTATGAAGTCCATCGAAATATTTTCTATGGACATTTGTTCTCTCGAGTATAGATATTCAAATCACACACACACACTCAGAGAGAGAGAAAGAGAGAAAGAGGAGGAGAAAGGATTTGAGATATTCAAATCACTGTAGTTGTCTTTTTTCTATTTTCTCAATTATTGTCTCTTTTTCTTTTATTTTATTCAAAAATATTAATATAATTAAAAATAACATATATATAATTTTGATATCTTTCTTAGTCTAACTCTTTCCCTTCGACTTGTCCGGCATAGGTAACCCTAAGGCCGGCATTCATAATTCATTCTTATATTTAAGATCGTCTTAAGTAAGTTGGAAAATACAACTATTTTACTAACTGATCGGAATCTCAAGACGCGATCTAAGATCATACTTAAGATTATTTTAAATATAAAAATAGTCTACATATATGAATATCGGCGTATTATACGTTACTGCCGGCATAGCTCTTAGGTTCATTAGAGTACTCAAACCTCATCCGGCAAATGCCTCTGTAAGGTAGAGATACGAGGAAAAAATTTTTTTTTAATTTTATTTTTATTTTCTTTCAATACAGGATTTAATACAAAAGTGAATGTAAAATATAATTTGAAACCTAATATAAAATAATTTTTATTTATTACAATAATTTAATACACGAAAATGTCTCTAAAATATACATATAATATAAAATTTACTAAAAATTTTTATATAGTCCAGACAAGCCCGATTAGCGATGATTAATTATGCAACATTTATCACTGATAATCGATATGCGATAATAGAATTTAATAAGTTTTATGTAACGTAAATATATATAATCATGATTAAAAGAGTCATTAATAAAATTATTGATCATTTCTTCGATTGTAGAAGAAAATATTTGCATTACTATCGCATTTTGTGTAGATTATCAAAGGAAATATTCAAAATACGAAAAAATAAAATAAGCTTCAATGTAAATCAACAATTAAATTACAAAATAAATCGCGATTTAAAATTCGCGAGAAAACGCGAATAAATAAATCGATAATAATAAGAATATTCGATTACGAGAAATATACGTATAATTTTTATAATATGATAATCAAAACTATCAATAGATACGCGCGCGACATAATTATTATCACACAAATGATAATACACGAAGATATTTTGATAAACATTTGTGGTCCGCATTGTTTATGAACAATTATTACTTTAATGATATTTATAGAATAAAATATAATTCCCGCGACGCTTTATCTCGTTCTATTTTTCAATTATTTAAAATTTAATTATTTAATTTAGAATCAAAATGCACAGCAAAACAATCGAATCATAAATCGAAAAAATTAACATAATAAAAAGCTTTGTGATACATCAAATTAACAAATATTATTTAATCCATGTAATCTAAAACTTTTATACACTTTAACATTTCGTGTATATGTTAAAGTACGTAAACTATATCAGCAGTGAATGGATAATAACACGATCGGCCTTGGCGGCGTATGACGCGCTGTGTTTACATGTACGGTCTTGATATCATTCACACGGCAACATTCGAAGAGTAAGGTGCGAAATACTTCGTATATTATTAAATTTTTTCTCTAACGATAAAACACAATTATGACTAGTATTAAAACATAATTCGCTAGGATAATTATAATTAGTACTTGCTAAACTTTTAATTGTAATTACTACGCGATCGGGAATGCCGTGCAAAATGTCTCGCGAGTTTTGCGTATACTAATATTAACTAACTAATCTTAATTAATCTTGTTTTCAGGAGTGAAAGTGAGTGCAACGAAAAAATAGTGAAGGAGAGGAAAGGCAAGTCTAAAAAGCACTGGACCACGTACTAAGCAACATTATCCGGTAAATAGTTTATAAATTATTTATCATTTATATTTATTATTTATATTCAGATTATATATATATATATATATATATATATATATATGTCATTTATATTCAGATCATATTATATATTGCATGTTTTCTCAATAACGATTCTCTCTCTTTCCCTCCCCCCCCTTCTCTCTCTCATTGTAAATTATCTAAATTATTTAAGTTTTTAAATTATATTAGTATAACATATATCTAAAATATTCTGGATTATCTTATTTTAATATACTTAAAATATCTATAATAAAATATTTGTATATTATTTAACACTTTTACATAGATAGTAATATTTCATAAACTGCTTCACAATAATATATTTCACAATAATATATTTCACAATAATATATTTCACAATATTTAAATATTTTATGCATAAAAGATTCCATAATGAATAAATTGTTTAATAAATAATCAATTTTTATCAATCAATTAAAACACTTCTATAATTCAATATTCTATGCGTGTGTATTTTATAGTACATAAAATATTTCGACAACGAATTATCAATAAAATCATGACTTTGGCAAGAGTAGTGCATTGTTTATATATTACAGTTTTGCTATCATTTGCTCGGTGATATATAAGCAATAAATAATGATACGAAACGTTTCGTATACTAATTAATTGTTTAAATAATAAATAATCATTTAATTAATCTATAAATATAAAAACTTCTACAATTTAATATTTTGCGTTACAATCAAACAACTAAACTTCAAATTTTTCTAAAATGTGAACATAAACTAATTATTAATTAAATGACTGCTATCACAACTTTATTTATTATTTTAATATTTTCATTCTTATAATTCGATGTTCGATTTTGGCAATGTAAAATATAAACAGTAGCGCGCTATATTACGGCTTTGTCATTATTCGAACAGTGACTCTCGAGTAAAGTAGTGGTAAGAAACGCTTCGTATACTGTAATTTTTTTACTAAACACGATTACGGTTAGTATCGAAACATAATTTACTAAATATTGACAAAAATTTATTAATTAAAAATTAATTAACGACATGAAACTGTATCGCAATGATACAGTTAAATCTTTATCGAATCGTAATCATTCATTACCGCGATTAAAAATTGAAACTACATAAAATACATAAAAAGGGATAGGAGAATTAAACATAATATTTCGATCATCGATGCTTATTATATTACTTCTTTAATAATATTAAACTTAAATATACTTCGATCAATGCTTTAAATTTTCCTAATCCTTGTTAATTAAACAATATACAATTTAATTGAGAATCGATTAAATGATAATAATCTAAGATATTAAATAATCATTTCGATGATTGCGATCTTTACGGATAATAATTAATATTTTAATATTTAGAATCACAAATATATTTCATCCGTGTTACTTTATCGTTCTACTTGATAATCTAAATATAATTTCGAATGTGAGAGAACGCGAAGTAAATCAATCGAATTATAAATGCAAATAATTAGCATAACGAAAGACTCCGTGAATTGATTGATAAATAATTAATTTTAATCAATAAATTAAATACTTTTATAATTTAATATTCCACGTTACTGTATATTTTATAATATATAAAATATTTCGGTAACGAATTATCGATAACACGATGTTTGATTTTGGCAATATAAAATATAAACAGTAGCGCGCTATACGGTGCCGCTTTGTCATCATTCGTACGGTGACTCTCGAGTAATAAAGTAGTGGTAAGAAACGCTTCGTATATTATAATTCTTTTTGTTAAACACGATAGTGATTATTCTTGAAACATAATTTGTTATGAATATTAATAAATGTTAATTAATTAAAAATTAATTAACGACATGAAACTGTAATGCAACGATAATTCTTTATCGACTCGCAATCATTGATTACCGCGATTGAAAATTGAAACAGGTTATACATAAAAGAGAATAAAAGATTATTGTGTGATATTTCGATCATCGATACTTATTACAATATTTCCCTATAATATTAGAATATAATATTAGAATTAAATATATATCGATTCAATGCTTTG